CAGACGCGGAGCGCCGGGCCTCCGCCCTGGCGGCGACGCCGCGCCCCCTCGACTCAGCACCTGCCTCGGGGGCTGACTCGCCTACAGGGGCGGCAGGGGAAGAGGAAGACCCAGGAAATGGAAAGGGAGTGGGTGCAGCATCCCGGGGGGGCAGGTCTTCGGGTCCCTCGATCCTCATCCGCATCGCCTCGGGAGGGCTGCTGGCGGCTCTTGCCACTCGGCCCTGGAGGGGCGCGTCCGAGGGCAACAGAAGCCGTCGGGTCCTCGGGCGCCCCTCTCTGGGACATCGAGAAAGCGAGGATCGCCTGGAACGCCTGATGCTCGAGCTCGAGCTTACATGTCCCACGGAAAACGCTAGTCTAGACGGTTTCCTGGCAGGGGGGCGGCCACCTGCTTCTCTTCCACCTGGATGCCGTGCCTTAGCTCTCTCGGTTGATCCTGGGCCCGACACCTGTTCGCGGCGCGATGCCTGAGCCCGCGACTGGAAGCGGCTCTCCAGGGGCCCGTGGAGGAGCCCACGTGGCAGCTTCGGAACCCCACCGTGGTCATTGACACGCGTCACCTCCGGGAACTTGAGGGCCTTCTGGGTCGAGCGCCTCTTAGGAGTCCTATTGGTCATTGATCTCTTGGAGCACCTGAAATAGGGCCTCAGGGCCTTTGTGAGCATGGCGCCCAGGAGGATGAGCCGATGGATGCACGACGAGATCGCCCCAGTGTCTGACATCATGGAGGGCCGCGTGCCTCCGATGCAAAACGAGTCTGGCATGGGAAAGAGGTGGCGTTTCAGCGACTTCGGAGGCGCCTCGCGCCCTGGGCTTAAAAGCCGGACGATGTCTGCCGCTGTCTGCCATCCGGCGCCCAGGCGCCAGACGGGCCAAAGGAATCGACTCGCCGAGGGTAAAGGCCTGCAAAACGTTCCGCGGCAAATCAATCACGCAAGCCAGAGAATCAACTATCTTCACGTTGTTTTTAGCGTGGAACGTCACCCCGCAGCGCGGCGGTCTCGGCGATTCCCAGCACCCCGCCAAGGCGCAGGGGGCACGACGTGACGCTGATCACCCTGGCGGGGCCGCCCACTCCATGGGCCAACTTGCTGGGCCGCACAGACGCAGGAATCTCCGCGTAGCGCTGGCCAATCTCAGCCAGGGCGGTGGACTCTCGAATGAGTGAATCCCGTCCAACGAGATCACTCCCTGCAGCTCCTGGATCTACGAGGCCCTGAAAGACCGCGTCGCTGGGCACTTCCCCCCGAACGTCTTGCCAAGTCGCCAAGTTCCATGGCGGCGGATCGGACGAGAAGGAGCATCCGTCGAACATGTAGGCCCAGAACTTCTGCCGATCGTTCTTCTCGGCAGCTCCTCGCGACCCGGCATTTGGGCACTCGCGCCCCCAGTGGCCCTTCTGGTGGCAGATCCTGCACTCGGTCGCCTTCGTGAGCTGCTCGGTAGACAGGCGGCCCGACCGACCTCGACCGCGGCCACCTCTGCCTCCTCGACCTCGGCCCGCGCGCCCGCGGCCGCCTCCCCCTCTGCAGCCGGGTGGTCGTGCCGGCCGAGGTCCCGAAGCGGAGCCGTCTTTCGCCCTGCCGCCGAAGCACCCCCGGTCAATCTTGGCCGCGCGCTTCAGATCCGCGTTCTGCCCCCGGGTCCTGGCGTTGAGCCTCGACTCGATCATCGTCGGCGCCTCGTCGATCTGATCTTCGTAGAGGTCCAGGTCGTCGAAGTCCTCCAGGTCGTCCTCATCGTCGCAGTCAGGTTCGTTATCCTCTGGACCTTCGGGCCCACCAACCGCCGACGGACCGGGGCCAGGAGGGGAGAGGAGGGAAGACTGAAAAGCACCTGCTGCAGCGCTGTCGCACGCTGGGCGCGGAACGCGGTCCTCCGAAGACGACGCCGCCAAGACTGTGACTCTCGACCTCGAGCCTCCGGGGAGAAGACGCCCACTTCCCCCCGCGTCCATCTGTCGGAGGGCTACATTCTGGTAGTCGAGTCGCCCGTGAGTGAGGGGCCGAAGGTTCTGATCTCCCTGAGCTGCGAGGCCCGCGCCCTCCCTCCTCTAGCAGTGGACCTTTCAACTTGGACGACATCCAAAGATCGCGTCGTTCTGCTTCGAGCAGCTGAGCCTCGCGGCGACTCACGCACTGAGTGAGGCTCTCCCGGTTCTCGCGGGTGGCCTCGAAGAAGGCCTTCCGTCCTGCTCGTCTGAGATCGTCGCCCGCACGTTCACCCACGATCATGTCCATTCTGGAGAGGGTGGTGTCCAACACCACGTCGCACTCGTCAGGTCATGCTCGCTGAGATCCTCGAATTTCGCACTTCGCTGGGGAAACCCACCGAATTGATTCATCAGCTTTGGAACATCCGTGTTAGTATTCAACCTCCTGACAGCCTTTTCCCACTGGCAGTAGTGTGTCCACCCCGGCCAGGGAGGTGGGTCGCCGAAGTCGCCTCGGCCAGTGCTCGTCGACCAGCCTGAACCGCCCCAGCAGCCATATGCCCAGGTCCCGCCTCCTGGGCTCCGGGCCTGCCAGGAGCTGGGACCCCAGCCCTTGCTGGAACCCCAGGAGCCGGACCGCCAGTCGCAGTCGGGTTCAGCTGCTGCTGCCGACTCGCTCTTGTCGCCGCGACTGCGTCCGTGATGTCTGTAGTTGTCCTGCCACGGATCTGACACCGCCCACTGGTCCTCACCGTCGGTTTTCATGCTCGGCGCCTTGGAGGCTGGAGCGGCGTCATCTTCGGCAGCACCGAGGGTCCCCGTTCGAGCCGTCGACGCCGATCTCATAGTTGATGTCACTATGTCCCTGATCACGTTCTCGAACCCCCCCCTTGGTGACCGGAGCGGTGCTGCCCGACGAGGCTGCGCCATCTGCCGAGGCGGCCGGCGGGTCGGTCGGCTGCCTCAGCGCCATGAGCGCTGCCTCGATGTCCCCTTCACTGTCTGCGCAGGGCATTCCCTTGCCGTGGATCCCGCACCGCTCGCTGGACGGCGCGAGCGGGGCCGGCCGGGGGCTCGCAAGCGCCGAGGGAGAGGCCGCTAGCAGCCTGCCCTCGCACCCATGGCCCGCCAGCCTACCCCGCTCCGCTGCCAACTGTGGCAGGGGCAGGAGAGACAAGTGGCTTACCCTTGAACCAAAATGGTCACCGAACATGGTCAACTCGTTCGGATACTGAATGCTAAACCTATCGTCGAAAATACAGGAGACCTGCTACACAAGGCTGCTCTGGGACATCCAGATGAAGGGGACAAGGAGGCAAGGAGGGACGGGGGAGAAAGAGAGAGAGAGAGAGAAATGGAACCAACAAAACATGAGAGGGTAACAACAACAAGCAAACAAGAGGAGAGAGAGAGAGAGAAGGAAAAAGAGGGACAAATGACGAGGAGGAGAGCGGAAGGGGGAGGATGATGAGGATGCGTCAAAAAGATGGGGAATAGGGTCGAGGAATACCCTATACTTCGGGAGTTATTGCACTCAAGCTGCTACCACGGTATGGTACAGGTGATGAAGGAGGGGGCGCCGGAGGAGAAGAAGGGGGGAAAGGAGGAGGCGGAGAGGGAGGAGGATCTGGACCTTGTCATTGAATCTCCCTTAGCGCCATTCTGGTATGACGTGACCGTGCACTACGTACGCCAATGTTGCAGAGTACACCTCGACCATCGACAATGTGCTGACCATCTGTCTAAGGATCTGGTGCGGTGAGCCTGCTCTAGCAGATTGCCACGACAGCTGGGCCTAGGAGGAGGGGGAGGAGGAGAAGAAGGAGTAGAGAAAGAGAAGGAGGAGGAGGAAGAGAAGGAGGAGGAGGAAAAGGAGGAGGAGGAAGAGGGGGAGGAGAAGGAAGAGGATGCGGAGGAGGAGGAAGAAGAACAGGATGAGGAGTAGGACGGGGAGGAGGAAGAGGAGGAGGCGGAGGAGGAGGAAAAGCAGGAGGAGGAGGAGGAAGAGGAGAGGAAGAAGGGGATAGAGGACGAGGGAGAGGAGGACGAGGCAAAGGAGGGGGATGAGGAGGAGAAGGAAGAGCAAAGTCAAGGATGAGGAGGAGGACGACGAGGAGGGGGAGGCGGAGGTGGACGAGGAGGACGTGGAGGACGAGGACGAAAAGAAAGGATGAGCAGGAGGAGGAGGAGGACGAGGGAGAGGAGGAGGAGGAGGGCGACGAAGAGGAGGAAGAGGACGAGGAGGAGGAGGAGGAACAGGGAGAGGGGGAGGAGGACAAGCTAGGTGCGCTCGCGTCATATCTGACATCCTAACCCTCCCTCCCATCCCTTACCATGGCGTAGATCCCCTCTCTACTCGCACAGTCGGATGTCGAGCAGGGCAATGATCCCGAAAGGGTACGCGATGCATTGTAGAGCACGGCATGGCATGACGTAGAAGAGCACCGAATAGCGCAGTATCAACATAGCATTGCATTGCATGCCGTGGCATGGCCACAGGAAATGACGCCAGCGCTGCAGCGGGAACACGAGTGGGAACGAGCGGAAGCGCGGAAATGAGGACAGCGCTGCAGCGGGAGACCGATTCGGAACGAGCGGAAGCACGGAAATGAGGCCAGCGCTGCAGCGGGAGCACGATTCGGAACGAGCGGGGCCCGAAAATGAGGCCAGCGCCTCAGCGAGAGCAGCATTTTGGAAAAACATACGGCGAAAACCCAACTACGGGGAATCCAATGTGTGTAAAACAACAATGCGCCGGGGGGGGGGGGTAATACTTTCAAACCGTCATCCAGGGAAGAGGGAGAGTAGTATTCATATTGAGTAAGTGCACTGAAGGAAAAGGACGAGGAGGAGGACGAGGAGGGGGAGGAGGACGAGGAGGAGGAGGAGGAGAAGGCAGAGGAGGAGGAGGAGGAGGAGGAGGAGGAGGAGGAGGAGGAGGAGGACACAGAAGGAATTACACAAGGAAGTGGCAGTTAGGAATACAGGGGGGGAGCGGCGGCGACGGCGGTGCTCTGTGTTTTGCCAGCATCCTGGAAGACGACGGGACCGGCACTCCGGCTGAGGGCGCCCGCCCCCCTGGACTGGCGCGGCGACGAGGAGGGCCCCGCCTCTGGCGAACGAGCCCGCCACCGCCCACGAACCCGCGGCCGCGCGGCGCTACACAGGAGAGGAAGGAGGCGGAAGAGGAGGAGGAGCAGGAGGAGGGGGAGGAGGAGAAAGAGGAGGAAAAGAGGGAGGAGGAGGTGGAGGAGCAGAGGGAAAAGGACGAGGAGGAGGACGACGAGCTGACGAGGACGAGGAGGAGAGGATGAGGATGAGGAGGAGGGGAGGAAGAGAAGGGGGAGGAGGAGGGAGGAGGAGGAGGAGGAGGAGGAGGAGGAGGAGGAGGAGGAGGAGGGAGGGGGAGGAGGAGGAGTGAGGTGGAGCGAACCCGCGACCGCGCGGCGCTACACAAGCACGTCGCCGCCCGCCGCGGCCCTGCCGATGGCGTTGCCGGCGTGGCCCGGCCGCCGGGGGCAGCACGACCACGGGCCCCGTGGCGAGGCGCTCGCCGCCGCCCCGGGCCTGCCGCTGCGCCCCGCGTCCCGCCAGATGCGCCTCACCACGGCGATGAGGGCGAGTAGGAGGAGGAAGAGGAGGAGGAGGAGGAGGAGGAAGAGGAGGTGGAGGAGGAGGAAAAGGAGGGAGGAGGAGGAAAGGAGGAGGAGGAGGAGGGGAGGAGGAGGAGGAGGAAGAGGGGGGGAAGGAGGAGGAGGAGGAGGAGGAGGAGGAGGAGGAGGAGGAGGAGCAGGAGGAGGAGGAGGAGGAGGAGGAGGAGGAGGAGGAGGAGGAGGAGGAGGAGCAGGAGGCGGCAAGGGCGACGGGCAGCGGCGGCGACGACGCGGGCGAAAGGCGCCGTCGACGGCGACGGGCGGCTGCGAGGAGGCAAGCCCTGCGAGGCGGCCCAGCCTACGCCCCGCGCCCCCGCGCGAGCGACGCGCAAGCTGGGCTGCCCGACCTCGCGGCCCGCACCGCGCGGGGCGCGGTCGTGCTTGTGGCCCCGCGCGGGATGGGGACTCCTCAGGCCTTGAGACCGCGGATCGCGAACAATGCAAGCTGTCGCGCCCCTGCGGCCGTCCCAGGCAACAATGGGGCGGCGAGGGCGCCCGTCAACTGAGCACTTTCTTAGGGTGGAGGGCTAAGGGTGACATCCACATGGGCGTTTACACCTCGATGATCAGTCCGTCTTGTGATTCACCTTTTGCAGATTCAAGCCTCGAGAACTCATCGAAACTGCATTTCAGATTTCAGCCTTTGCCCTCCACCCAAAGAAATGCTCGGGTCAAAGAAAACACGGTCGGGGGTTTTCTCGAAAGGCTTGCTCCGGCCGGCCCCCGACTCCAACCGTACCCCGGCTCCTGCGCGCCGCCCACTACCTCGGGAACCGTACCCCTTGAGGCGCGATCCGTTCCGAGGCAGCTCCTGCTCGACAACGAAGGCCCCCGAAGAGGCTCCTGAAAACAAGACTCCGCGTGACAGAAGGCTCTCAACGAGGCGCATATGGTGGAGAACGCCCCGGGACAGAAACACAGCAAGAAGGAACTCAAGGTGAGCGCTTGTTTATTCGGCGTTCCGAAACTGTGCGGAACGGGGAGGGGTAAGAGGGGGGTCTGGCCCCAGACCTCTGCTTCGCGCGGCTGCTGGCAGGAGTGCTGCCATCTGGGGGAGGCTCCACGAGCTCGAAACAGGCGCCAAAAAACAGCCAACATCTACTCCCAGGGGTTGGGGGGGGGGGCGAGGGCCCGCGCCGATCGGCAAAGCAAGGAGTAAGAAACCCACGACAGGTTCGCCAACCACGCGCAGCAGGGTTCGCCCGCCTTGGGCCCCAGCGCACCGCGGGCGCCCGAGAAGAGCGTGGCGGAGGCGATGCTAGCGGGAGCTGTGTAGGGAATCGGCGAGGTCGAGTTCATCCTGGGAGCCTCTGGCTTCTTGTAAACAAATCGCATGACGACGGGAAACGAGTCGTTTGATACATTTGATGGTCTTATTGGGCAGATTGTGGTTGGATCAAATCGCATTGAACATCCTAGGTATGTTCCCAAAATCCACCCCATCATAACCACCCCGACACGCGAAGTCATTTAGTAAACGCGCCCAGAGAAGGAATCGAGCAGGACAAGGCCTTCAAAAAAACGCCCAGTGCCGTTTAGTAAACGCCAGTTGTCCTGTCTGGGTGGTTGTTCCTTCCTTTATCTATGGTGCAAGCCTTGCTGCCGCAAGCTACGTGCTGCAAGAAAGATGATGTAGGCTGCGGGGTGGAAGCTGCGTGGTGGAAGCTGTGTTGCGGGAGGCGTTTAGCGGAAAAGCGTGGCACAAAATCCGCCGACCCTGTCGGCGTGTGGAAGACGCATCCCGGTGTCGTCGTATTGCGTGGATCACCGTCGTCGTCATCGTCGTCGACGTCTCCGTCGTGTCCTCGTCGTCTCCGTCTCCGTTGTCCCTCGTCGTCTTCGTCGTTCCCCGTCTCCTTGAGCGCGCGAGCCAAAGCGACATTGAGCAACGTCGTAGTTGAGTCGTGGCGAAGCCCCTCCCTACCCTCCCCGCCGGGGGGTGGGGGGGTGGGGGGGGGGGGTCGCCGGGGGGGGTCCCCGGGGGGGGTCGCCACCCAGATACGCATCCTCCCCGGGGGGTCCCGGAGCTCAGAAAAGCTTCAAGACGAGCCAAGAGCGACAGAAGACACCCCCAAAAGGGTACAAGAGGGCCTCGACTCGACGAACGATGGCCCCAAGACGCCCAAGACGGCCCGAAGACGGCCCAAGAGGCCCTCAAGACGCTCCAAGAGAGCCCCAAGAGCACACCCAAGAGGGCCCCAGGCGCCAAAATCGTCAATTTTACATCGGTTTTTGAATGATTTTGGCCTTCTCGCCTTTTCGGCTTTCCGACACTCCAAGACGGCCCAAGAGGCCCCCAAGAGGCCCCCAAGAGCGCCCCAAGAGGCCTACAAGAGGGCCCCAAGACGGCCCAAGAAGGCCCCAGGACAGCCTAAGAGGCGCCCAAGACGGCCCAATAGGGCCCCAAGACGGGCCCAAGAAACGGCCAAGAGGGGGACGAGGAACCGAGAATTCGAGACTTCCGCCCTAAGAGGCCCCCGGGAAGCCCCAAGAGGCCCCCAAAAGGCCCCAAGAGGCCCCCGAGCGGCGCCAAGACGCCCCCAAGATGCGCCGAAGACGGCCTCCGGAAGCCCCAAGAGGCCCAAAAGAGGCCCCAAGAGGCCCCACAACGGCCCCCAAGAGGCTTCAAGTTGCCTTCCAGACGCCCCCGAGAGGTCAACCACGAGATCCCAACCAACATCCATAAGGCCTCCTCCTCCTCCCCCTTCACCCTTCCTCCTCCTACTCCCTTCCGCCTCCTCCTCCTCCTCCTCCTCCTCCTGCCCCCCCCCTCGTGTTGTCTTTCGTCATCTTCAGGGTCGGCGGCAACGGCCGTAAGGCCTTCGCAATATTCGTGCATGGGCAACTACAAAGTTGAACTAGTTTTCGCAACTCTTGAAGTCGTCAGCCACGCTGCCAGTGCAAACGTCCCACCGGCCCGCTCGCAACTCGGCCAAACCCATTCGGCAACGCTTGCGGCTTTGGATTGGAATTCGCTATTGGTACGCGCGCACTCGCGCGATCGGCAAGCTGATTTGGCACAGCTGATGCGACCGCGACGGCGCCTAGCGCGGGCACTTCAATGCGGGTCGATGTCTGGGCGGGCGCGATATTCTGATGACGTCGGCAACGGCGGCAACAACCGCGATACCAATCATGGTGGTAGCGATGGTGATAACGACGACGGCACGGCCAATGACGGCACCGATACTGCGAACTACGAGATGACGATGACGATGTCCGCCCGTCAGTGACTAGGGTGATTGTGATGCTGGCGGCAATGGCTGTGCTTCGCGATGACGATGACGCCGGTGCAGCGATGGCGCTGGTTGTGGTGATTAAGACATGCGCGCGCGAAATCAAAAGTATTGCCTTGTGGCCATGGGAAAACATGATTGACTGTCACGGTGTTTTCGAAAACCCAATCTTGACATACTTCGGAAACACATTGTGTTGAAACGGACTCGATAATCCCTGTGTGGCGGCGCGCAACTCCCGCATGTTAGATAATGTGTGGTTCGGATTCTCGTGCATTGGGCGCATGCAAAATCAACGCGGATGCTCCGCGTGGTGAGATGCAAATGCGGCTCCTAGGCGAGTTCACTAAACCGTATGGGTTCGCACGATTTCAGCATGTGCGCGAGGGCAAAACATATGCACGATGCTTCTGGAAAGAACAAGTGGGCGCTGCAGCATAGTCTGTTAAAGTGCTTCTGAATATGTTGTGCCTGTGATGGTTTCAAGATGAGCGCGCGCGTGGACGCTGCGGTATTTGATTGAACATCTTTCTCCCCTGCCCGGAACACGCGAACTGGCGAATCGCGGAGCGCTCGGTCCACCTCCGAGGAGGGTGCCCATGATATATCTGCACGAATTCGCATGCAGTTGGTCCGTACAGCCCCAGGCCGAGAGCCCGCGAAAAACGGTGGCTCACGTAGCCTGGAGCCGCCACTGCTGCATAGGGCCCTCTGGTAGCCAGCCATTGGACACGGGCGCCAGCGCCACACCCACATGCCCGCCAGCCAAGCGAAACGATGGATTGACTACCAACAACAATGCTGGGATGGTAACTCACCCTCAGCTCCGGAAGTGAGAGGCAGACGATTGAAACTGATGATTGGACATCACTGTCTCATAAAAGACGACTGCGCGCGCATGGTACTTTTTGTTGCACTGTTGGAGGGGGATGACAAAGGCGTCGATACCGGCTTGGTCGGGATGGTATGGCTTAGTCTGGAAAAAGAGCGGTGAGGCAGAATCAGTGGCAATTGCAATACACCAGAGGGGAACGTAGAAGTCCCAGCTCGGGAGGCTGGCAGAATTTCTTCTTTTGGGTGAGGAGAACCGCTGTAAGGTGGAACTCACGCGCGCGGTGCATGCGGGCGTCGACCCATCAAAATCGCGCGCAGGTTGGTGGAGTATATTTTTCGGGATGAGGATAACCACTGTACGGTGGAGCCCATGCGCGCGGCGCATGCGGGCGTCGACCGATCGAGATCGTGCGCGAACCGGCCCAGCGCACGACGCACCAACTCAGGCGCCGACTGGTTGCGATCGGGCAAAGTTTCTCCGTTCGGGGAGGCGTAAGACTCGGGTACGGGGGACTCGAGTTGGCCTGACGGGGGCCATCATAAAAACGACGAGACCCGATTTGAAATCTGACGCGGGCTCCCGCCGCAGACATCCCACGAACACGGGACCGCCAGAATCCAGAACGCGCTCGTCAAAAAAAAAGTCGGCAAACCCGAGTCCTGGCTCACTCGAGTCTTACGTTTCCCCGAACTGATTGCGATCGGGCAAGCTTTCTTGAAGGGGGCCCAGGACACACAAATAAACACACAAATAAAAAGATTCCCCATGTTTTCCTATATTTTCTCGGTTTTTGTCTTCCCCCCCACTTCCCATATTTTCCAATCTTTTCCTGGGAATCGAGGATTCATTCTGTCTGTGTGTTTTTGTTGCCCTCCTGATTTCTCC